GAAAAGATCCAATATTGGTCCTAATATAAGGCATTGTGTCTGGCGTATAACTGTTGCAGATAGGTTGAATTAAAGCTATCAAAATAAATAATATTCGAGACCCTTATTCGTCCCAGGTTGCCATTAGGGATATGTGGTTCCACTGGGGCTCAAACCCAGGACCTTCTGTATGTGTAAGGCAGGCATGCTAACGGTTCCACTGGGGCTCAAACCCAGGACCCTCTGTATGTGTAAGGCAGGTATGCTAAACACTACTGAGGTCCATCCTTAATTTTGCCTTTTGGTTTGTTCATTTTATGCCTGTAGTTTGTCTTTTGGTTTGTTCATTTTATGCCTGTACTTTGTTTTTCATTTATCTTTTGTTTGAGTTGTTACATCATTTCTGAGAGCTTTACTACAGTTGGAAACCACCTGAGGTTTCTAAGACCTGCAGGTTTGGTCCATCACAAACTCATGACAAAACTTAGAGTGAAGGTGGCCACTCCAGCCACGCTCTACATACCGTAATCGAGCAGAGAGCTAAGTAGTTTAGAGTGGTAAATATAGAGAGCTTGTTTTCAAACAGTGCCACAACATTGAATCCAGCTGTCACAGCTATGTTAATGTCTCCTTTGATTTATTATTACTCTGTTTACAATGTTTAAATTAGGAAGGGAGAAAAAAAACAATAAGATGCAAATAAAGCCATTATCTGTGAGTTTGCAACAACGACAACGTTTATTAGACGCTATTGTTTTCCAGCTGTGCCTGTTTCTGCCAGATGGCCTGAGCTTTTTCTGTACAGAGTCGAGAAAAAAAAAAAAAAAGCAACCACACAGTCAGCACACAGAGACCAACGGAGGCTGTCCTCTGGTCTGTCTGCTGGAAAACACGTGAGACGTTGCCTAGATTGAGGAAAAATTATAATGTTCTCCCCTTTGGTTGGTTGACATAAACATAACTTAAGCCTGAGAAGAGCAGATTAAAGATGTCCTCCCACTCCTGGTATCAGACGTTCACTATGGGAATGTGTTTGGAAGGCATTCTAGGACAAGGGATGAGTGAAAAAATATTGTATCTGCACGGATTATAAATGAAGGAGCCGCGTTTTGGATCTGCAATGACAAAAAAACAGCTGCTTGACTAGATGTAAACATCTGCAGTTTCTGTAGCAAAATGTTTGTCCAAGAACGTGATTGCTGCTGTGCATGGATTTTGTATAACACAAATATTAATCAGTGTCTTGAAGGAGCTCTGGAGTTTTTTTTCTTTTGCCTTTCGCTGCCTCATAACCTTTACCAAACACTGAACTCTAGATAATGGGTCTGATAATAATCTCAATAAACAACCATCTCCTTTCTTTCATTATGCATATATGTCAACCGGTCCATGAGCTGCTGCCATGATCAGGGAATTATACAGGTCATATGGGAACAAGGCCATGAGATTGTGGTTGTGTGGGGTTTTTTTTTCTCTCATGAAGGGAACTCGTATCCTTTGGGGGGGGAGAAAAATAATAAGAAGCAACAGCAGTGAATTACCTGCTCAGCAGATGTGAGCATGTGTTTAATCATGCAAAGCGTATGTTGCACTGCTCCTGCTGTACGGTGTACCTTCAGCTGGAACTGAACTTGTGACTGTCCCTGTGCGTCAAAACCCGGGTGACATAGTGTCGTACGGTGTCAGCGGTCCGATAGCACCACGATGGCAAGACCAGAAAAGGAGTGCAGACAATGGGGTTGGGGGGTCCAGAAAAGGGGTGCAGACAATGGGGTTGGGGCGCGTTTAACTTGAGGGATCGACATAGTTGCTTCAGGGGGTCGCACAGGCTGAAAATAGCTCAAAAGGGTATGATTATGATTATACATGGTCCTGGCCCTTTTTTTTTAACTACAAGGACTCGTCAGAAAAAAAGGGAAATTCCCCATGAACTTTTAAAGGGTGACATTCCACAATATCCTAACATTTATGTACATTTATTTTATAATACTCAAATTGACTTTGCTAATTACTTATTATTTTACAAAAGAGCAGCGGAAAAGTCTGACAAACCTGTACAAGAATCAGTAAGTCGTCCTCGTCTTCTATGAGTCCGGGGGCACAGCTTGAAGTGTCAGCACCCCCTGCCTGGGGTGAGCATTAAAAGCAGGGGTGACAGGGTAATGAATGGGGAAGGGAGAAGCTGCCTTTTTGTTCAACTCTGACCATCAGAATTGGGATCCAGTGTGGTAAATGGCGGGGGTCACCAACACTGCAGGGAAGTCCTGCACCAGTCTGGACATCATGCTTTGCGTATAGACGCTTGTCCTTGGCACCAAGTGTTTACAAATACATGCTTAGGCCATCTGTTCAAATGAAAATAACTTATTTCTAAATACTTTATTCCCTCCTTTTGTATTTTTATATCCTATCCTATATCCATTTTTATATATTTGGGTAAAAAATGGCAACCAAGGCTACAAGTACAACAAATCAAAACTGATCTGCGATTTACAGAAACCTGTTCACGCTTTGGAAACCACTCGTGCGAAGTGCACATTTACAGTTAGCTACACAAATCATCAATGTTCAAAAGCTTCAATATATTTAATTATTTGAAGAAAAAAAAATGTCACACTCTAAACAAATGTGCGTGTGTGTGGCCACGTCTGCCACACGCCGTCACGAGGGAGTAAACCAGAATGTGGGAGGACTTTGGCGACGTCACACTGTTGTTACAGTTCTGTTTGGCTGCTCACCTTCCTAGTTTCTTCCCTCTTTCCTCCCACTCATCTCTTCCCCCATCCTCCCTCTGCAGTGGACGTGCATCGCATTTGGAGCAGCAGGCAGCAGGTGGAGATGACATCATCTGCACTGCAGCACACTGCAGCACTGGGTCTGAACAAAGACATGTCAGCCTGCCGCTAACTATGCCCTCTCTCCCCCGTCATCCCTCTGTCTACTTCTCTGGCCACCTGTAAGCTGGTGGGATAGGACGAGCATAACCTTAATACTGATGCCGTGCCCCGTGTCTGTCCTCTGAACCCACTCTTAACAAGAGATCCCGGTCTAAAGCAGGGTATCAACTCTTCACCTCAGCTGTCTGAGGAAGGATTTCCACCTAGGAAGAATCTTGGCATGTGACTGTCTTAATGTTAAAGTGATCTGCAGATTTGACAGAGCACTCACTTATGCAGTCTATAGCACCCAGAGGAATGGGAGGCAGAACCCTGAGTGTTGTCTTCTGAGTCCATTATTCACAGTGCAGCATTTTGCCGCTGACAGCGGTCATTTGCTGGGCAGTGGCATAATGTTTTTTTTTCTGTCCAATCATTACAGTTACTTGACCTCTTTTACAGTGGCTTATAGGAGGTTGGATTGTGACATTAGCTCTCCGTGGAGCGCTGAGCCGTGACTGCCAAGCGCAAATGTCACCGGGTCATGCTGTGAAGGCTCCCCACTTAGAGTCATTAGGTCCCTACCTACGCCATCAATGCTGAAAAGGCGAGTTGGGAAAGTGCATAAAAGCACAGAAAAGAAGATTTATGGACTCCATTTTCTTCATTGTTTGCCTTTCTCTCTTAATTTTTTTTTCTTGCTGGTATACTCGGTCCTTCTCCTCCCCTTCATCAATAAGCCAATAGCACGCTGGCAGGCCATACACACACAGCCATGTTCCTGTCGCCTAGTTACCGCTCGGCAGCAGGTTGCCACAGAAACGGCCTCATAGTGGCTAAATGGGGAATGCTAATGCAGTCTTCTGTACTCCCTGCTGCAGTGGTCTCTGTGTGCCCATCCCATTCCATGATCTGTACATAGCAGTCTCTGCATGTAAGTGTGTATCACACAAGGCTGTGGACATTCTTACAGGTCAGGACTCGTCATCCTGTCTTTAGGGTCTTTGTCAGCATTGCATCATCTGCCACATCTTCTTTTGGCAGCAAAAATAATTTTTGGTGTTAAAAAGTTGTTTTTTGTTGTTTTTGTTATTTTAATAATTCTTTTGGCAGCAAAAATAATTTTTGGTCTTAAAAAGTTGTTTTTTTGGGGGGGGGGTTTTAAAATAAATAATTATTTGTAGTGCTTCAAGTTATATTTTTGTTTATTGCATACTTTGCCCTCGAGTTAAGCAAAATGTTCTACATTTCCACTTGGAGAAGCAGATCAACTGCTGGCAAGTCTGACAAGTTAATGAGAGACAATGCATTTAACTATGTTGGCACAAGGTTAATGCAGCAGCCGCCTCTAAAATAACTCCTCTGTTCTGCCGTCCACCTTGACGTGTTCTACAGCCTTGATGTCAGGGACTCTCTGGAGGTCAAGCCGGTGATTGAATCATTACTTATTAGTTGTGTTGTCCAACAAATACACAGGCATAGAGAATCTTTGGTCATGAAGGGTTGCACTTAATCAGCTGTAGAGGACTGTCAGATGTACACACCCACCCATGGCCTGTCTAAAGCCCTGTGTGAAGGGGTGGACACATTCAGCTTGTCCCCACTCATTGCTCATTTGTTCGACCTGTGTCAGTGGGCTGTGGCTGGGCTTAAGTAGTTAAGGAGAGATGGCAGCAAGAGTTTTGGTGATGGACGCTATTAGCCAATGATTGATGGGCCTTGAAAGGTTATTTTTAGTTTAAGTCAATTGTTTATGATGAAGTTAATGATTAATGCTGGCGCCTGTCACTCAATTTCACGGGAGATTAATAGTTATTACTGGGATTTGCGTATGTTATTGTGAAAAAGGAAATTAAATTTTCATCACTGCAGTAGAACTACACAAATTGGTATAATGCATTTATGAAAGTGTTGTTTGGCTCGTGATTTTTAAGCCCTGAGCCACTGTGACATTCGATGCTGTTCTAAGCACTTTATGGTGCAGACCCTGAGATAATTTGTCTTGTCAGAACAAGGGATTGTTTGTGCTGGTTATAGCAAAGACGAATATCTCGCTTCTTTTCTTCCTATTCCTCGTTCTAAATGCTACTCGTCTGCTGACATTTCTTCTTCTTCCCTCTTTTCTGTGCCCCACTGTTTGTCCAGATAACCAGTTCAGAATGTCTATCCTGGAGCGCTTGGAGCAGATGGAGAGGAGGATGGCAGAGATGGCCAGCCACCAGCAGCCGAGCGGTGCAGGGAGTGGTGGAGCTGGTGGAGGAACAGGGGGCACGGGGGGAAGTGGAGGGGGAGGAGGAGGCGGCGGGGGAGGGGGGGGCGGGGGGGGAGGGGGGGGCGGGGGGGGAGGGGGGAGGGGGGGAAGGGGAGGGGGAGGAGGAGGAGGGGGGGGAGGTGGAGGGGGAGGAGGAGGAGGCGGTGGAGGTGGAGGCAACAACAGCCAGTCACAGGTAACAAACCACGTGCCGTTGTGTTGTACAAGCACGAGGCAGCACGCGACAAAACATCAGCAAATGGACCCAGGATTTGAGTTACGTTAGTTGTTAAAGGGGTTTTTAGAACAGCCAATAATGTCTTGTTCTGTTGTGTTTGGCAGTGTGTATCTGGCCAGATGCAAGCTGGCAGCTCCTTTGAAAGTCGTGTCGTGGTAGTCTGTGAGAAGATGATGAGCAGAGCTTGCTGGGCCAAGTCCAAACATTTAATCCACTCTAAGACCTTCAGAGGCATGACACTGCTTCACCTGGCCGCAGGCCAGGGCTATGCCACACTCATCCAGACACTAATCAAGTGGCGGTGAGAACAAAATACTCTGTAATGGTGCTTTGGTTTGTAATTGCCGTGTACCACACCAAATGGCAATGAGTTGCTAATTGTGTTCTCTCTTCCGTACAGTACTAAGCATGCTGATAGCATTGATTTGGAGTTGGAAGTGGACCCTCTGAATGTGGACCACTTCTCCTGCACACCCCTGGTAAGAAGTTAACATCATTCTACAAATGTTCACGTCATCTGGTAAACACACCCTAATAAACAACAGAAAACTTAAACATGGAACACTGGGAAGATCCCACAAGTAGATGCTGAACTGGTCGCACGTCAAGATGAATTCTAACAGAAGGAATCACCAAAGGTTTTGATCAAGTCAGGTTTTATAAGAACTGCTTGGTCCAAAACTACGTTCTCTGTCAGTATATGAACAATGTTTCTCAGGGGATGTAGGCAAGACCTTTACACCTGTTACCATACACAGCTGTAACATTGCAGAAATAAAAGAGGGAGATAAATAAAATCTTGTTGCTCAAAGGCCAAGAGTGGAAACTGCTACTAAATGTGCATGATCTTAAAATCCTTAGGTGGTATTCCATTAGAGATTGCCATGCTACCAAGATGGAAAAAGTCCCACGGGCCTAGGATTACTTTAGGAAATTATCAGTTAACTGAGTCTGCCATTACATCAAAAATGCCCCCTGAGAACTCCATTGATTTTCCAGCAGGACATTGCCAGGCTTTATTCTGTACATAATATATAAATGCCTTTGTAGAAAAAAAAGATTGCCCTGTGTTGCAGCTGCTACGTCTGCAAACTGGAGTTGTTTCCTTTTGGAAATGTTCAGAACAAAAGAATCCGACAAGAGCCCAGAGAGTGTTGAGCTGCAAATTTCCCACCTGCAAAACTGCAACTGTTGTTATCTTTTTTTTTTTAAAGATCTTTGTGTTTAAATAAAGCAGAGGGATGCTATGTGACTCACATAATCTGATAAACATGCCTGTTTGTTGAGTGGGTTGCATTTGTCTTTGTGTTTAAATAAAGCAGAGAGATGTTATGTGACTCACATAATCTGAATTTTCACAATTTCACAACTGAAGAAAAACACCTTATTGTGGCCTTAGTTCAAGTTTTAATTACATAAATTTCAGTTTAATTACCATTTTTAATCTTTAATTTATCTTTAAGAATTACTGTTAATCTCTTCCACGGTGTCTGCCGTCTCCTGCTGATCTGTTTCCATCCAGATGTGGGCGTGTGCACTGGGTCACTTGGAGGCAGCAGTGGTACTGTACAAATGGGACAGACGTGCCCTGGCTATCCCCGATTCTCTGGGACGTTTGCCCCTGTCAATTGCCCGTTCTCGTGGCCACACCAAATTGGCCGAATGTCTGGAGCAGCTACAGAGGGAAGAGCAGCAGGCGCCAGCCACTCTACCACCCTCCACCCGCATGTCTTTCTCCCCTGGCCCAGATGCCCCTACAACAGACAGCTGGATGGTCAACTGGGCGAATGACAGCGTAATGACCCCCAGCAGCAAGAAGGGAGGATCTGCCTCCACAACAACTACATCCAGTACCACCAGCCTAAATCCAGGTAGGATTCTTTGGAATTTTTTTTTTTTTTACACTTTTTGCACAATCAGTAACAACAACAATGTAAGGTCAACTGAATCTGAGGTTAAGTCAAAATGTTCTACTTTGAGTTCTGGGACATGTCTCTCTTCTCAACCTGCCTGTTTTTATTTGATCTAATTTTCTTCGATTTTGGGAAAGAAATAAAATGAATTGAATTATATATATAGGTTTGTACAGATTTAGAAAGTATTTTTAGGGCATAAAACCACAAAATAGTCAAGAGCTGTGTTTTGATTATTAAAATTTAAAAAATATTTGGCAGGTAGTTTTTTTGTCTGTTCCTGTATTTCAAAGCTAATGTCTGTCTTTTCATGTTTTGTTTTTTTTCAGACCTTAGAAGGCCCAGGTCAGAGCCATCGAACTACTACAGCAGTGAGGGTCAAAGGGACCTCCCTCTGGCTAAAAAACACAAACCTAACCCAGAGCTGTCTCAAACACGGCCAAACAAGGCCATGTCGGTTCCTTTAAGTCTGGAGCAGCAGCAATTCAATAAACTGTCCTCGAGCCCCAAGAGCCTGTCATTAGCAGGGATGAGTTCAGAAACGGTTCTGGAAGCTGCACAGGAGCAGTCAGATGGACCTCGAGAGACAGTTTCTCCAACAGTGGCTTAGGCAGGAAGACCCTGGGGGTCAGTGGAAGCAGCAGCTTGGGGAAGGAGAAACTGGTCAACCGGTTGCGCCAGCGCGAACAGCTAGGCATGCTTGTCATGTCTGACAGAGAAATGGCCGACACCGAACTCCTGTCTTATCGGGAAGATCTGGAGAACCACGATTGTCTGACACAGATGGATGACCTACAAGTGAGTGGATAAAGACTAAAAGCCTAAATGGACGGCAAATATGTAGAGCTGAGCAAATGCATTATTAAAGTGAGGATGTAGGTCCACAGCTGCCCTCAATCACTCAATTCTCTTTATTCAACAAAGTAAAAGGGCGAACTGTGATTTAAAACCTCCTTTTAAAGAGAGACACAGCTGACATTTTTTTAGCCGACATTTTTTAAAACCTCCTTTTAAAGAGAGACACAGCCGACATTTTTTTAAAGTTTAAAATTAAGCTGAATCAGTAGTACTTTAATGGTCCCCAAGGGGAAGTTATTGGTATGACAACATACACTTTAACACGGCAATACTTTTTCTTGTCTCAACAACGCAGGTCAACATGATGACTCTGGCCGAGCACATCATTGAAGCAACGCCGGAGAGGATCAAGAGGGAGAACTTTGCTGCTGTGGACTCTGTTCCTTTGGACACAACGGGTGTCAGCAACACCATGAACTGGCTGGCCAGCTACTTAGGAGATGTGGAACAGCTGCCAAGCATTATACACCTGAGGTGAGCAGCACCTTACGGTCTAAAACTGAAAGACCACTTTAAAATATTCTGTTCCATTAGGCAAAGCAGCAGGTTGTGACCTGGTCTGAAAGAAGAAAGAATCTGATGAAATTAGTTGCAGAAGTAGTGAAATAGATCTGTTGTTTTCATTAATCTATTTTTACTTTTTAACCTTTTGAATTATACTCTTCTATGTGTCTGAGTCACTTACTGTATAAGACATTTGCAGCAAATCATTTAATCCCATTTGATCTCAGTAAGCGTGAGTGCAGTTGTAAAGTATCTCTCTGGTGGGTTCTACATATATATCTGTAGTAAAAAAGGTCAAAACATTCTTTTCCTTGTTTTCTCAGATCTCTTTATAATGAACCACTCACTCCAACATCCAATCCCAGTCTCAGTCCTGGAGGGTCACCACTGAGAGAAGGTCCTCTGGAAAGATCTGCACTGCCCTCCCCAGCTGACTGGAGTGAGTTCATCAATGCCTCTAACAGCAAGGTGGAACGAGACCTGGCCCAGCTGACTCTTTCAGACCCAGAGCAGAGAGAGCTGTACGAGGCAGCTCGCCTCGTCCAAACTGCCTTCCGCAAGTACAAGGTACAGGCCTGGCGCCTTGTGTTGTGTGCACTGAAGCCCATCAATACAGGGCCATGTCGTTTGGGTCACAGTTGTTGTACGGTTTTGTTTTGCGATTTAAGGAATTCGCCTTTGGTTTGGTTCCAGGCTGTGGAGCTGTGATTTAGGCAGTAGAGTTCATGGTTGCAATACAGTTCATCAACATGTGGTGATATACTTTTTCTAATCATGCTTTAATATTATTGCCATTTCCTGTCCTTATTTGTCTCATTCTCTGTTTCTCTGTTGATATACATGTGACAACAAAAGAAAAGACATGCAAACTTGTCCCTGTGGTTTCAGCATGGGAACGTGGCTTGAGCAGAGCATGGCCTTGCTTAAAGGAACGATGCATTTTTCCCTTCTGTCCCAGATAGACTGTTAAGTTTGTGTACTCTCTGTGTCCTGTCACTCGTAGTCGTTTGGAACTTGCACATGCCTGTTTTACGACTAGCATTCCACTCACTTTTCCTCTCCCTCTGCCTGTTTTCATTCTCAAACTTGCTCCCCACCCACAGAGCAACATAAGTTTGACAATTATCATCAAAAAATATATTTTGCTGTTGTGTACAATTATCTGTTGTGTCATCTGATGCTGAGGTAGACCTTTGGCTCTCTATTCCCTACGGGTCTACCTCTCCTACCTCACTGCTCAAGTGGGGGGGGCGGTGCACCAGACGTGGTCTCTTTCCAGGTTGGCATTTAGCTGCCTGCCACCAGGAGACCTCAGCAAGACTTGAAAGAGCAACTGATTTCCTGTGTAGTGATAACCAGGTCTTACCCTGGCCTCTGACCTATTCCACTCTACTCTTCAACAGGGACGGCCGCTCCGAGAGCAACAGGAAGTAGCTGCTGCTGTTATTCAACGTTGCTACAAGAAATATAAACAGGTAGGCATCGGAAAGAATTGCTAAAGATAAAAACTCAACAAACAGGTAGGCATCGGAAAGAGTTGCTAAAGATAAAAACAATTACAGGTAGGCATCGGAAAGAGTTGCTAAGGATAAAAACTCAACAGTCCTTAGGGATGTAACAATGCACTCAACTCACAATATGATATGATTGATGATTTTTGCAACAATACGATATGATTGATGATTTTTGATGTGCACAATTCGTTTTTACTTCAACAGTTTTTAATCGATTCACAATGCATGGTTACATCCCTAACGATCATACAAATCTGTTCTACTTGAGCAATTTCACTACGATGATCAGTTGAGAATGTCAACGTATAATTCACATCCTATCCCTTCTTTTGTTTACAAGCTAACATGGATAGCATTGAAGGTAACGCTACTATATAACAGGCAGCACAATTCTGTACACAACGTTAGACTGCAGACACATTCTAAAATGATCCCTCGTGATTATAAGAGAATCCAAAGAAAAGTAAAACACCTTCTTTTCTTTTTTTTGTTTGTTTTTGTTTCTTGCCAACAGTATGCACTTTATAAGAAGATGACGCAGGCCGCCATCCTTATCCAGAGTAAATTTCGCAGCTACCATGAGCAGAAGAAGTTCCAGCAGAGTAGGAGGGCTGCTGTGCTTATTCAGCAATATTACCGCAGCTACAAGGAGTTTGGGAGGCAGAAGCCACACCACCGTGGGGCAGCTGCTGCTCTAGTGCAGCACAAACTGAGGTAGATTCTGTGCCACAAATTAAGGCCATGCACTGAAATAACTTATCGAGCTAGAAACAGTAGGTCAGAGACAGTAGCAGTTTATCATGCTGCCAACTACAAAATTAATAGCAGTTGTTATATTATTGGTCTTTGGGTTTGAAGAGACATAGTTCTAGATCACAAACAGAACCTGGAGAATTCCAGAAATGATGAATAGTCAGCACTTGTTTTCGCTTTTTAAATAATAAGATATTGTCATCTTTTAAAAAATGAACGACGATTTAATCAGTCCAGATCAGATCAGAGAAGTTTGATTAGAATTGATTCAGCTCAGTTGTTATTGGCCACGTCACAGGTGGAAGGCGGCGAAAGGAAGATTCATTCATCATTGGTATAATTATAAATAATGAAGAGCAGGTTTTTAGTATAATTATAAATAATGAAGAGCAGGTTATGAATCGACAGGCACAGAGTTTTAATTATTGTTGGTTAGAGAGGGAAGGTCGAGAAGTTCAAAGTCAAATTAAACCAAATTAAACCCTCCTACATTTTACAAGGTTCCAACAGTTTTGAATTGTTTTCCTAGTGTGAATTTGATGATACGTTCCAAAAATGTATGAAGTCCATTATGCATTTGAGACTAAATTTTTAATAGTGTAGTACAATAATTTAAGCAACAAATCAGTGCCATAAAGTGGGACATAATGAATTCATGCCAGTATTCAATCTACAGACAGTGTGACACCGGTACCTGATTTATGGTGTTTTCACAGAGCCAGTCTGCTAACAAAGAGGCAAGATCAAGCAGCCAGGAAGATCATGAGGTTCCTACGTCGGTGCCGCCACAGGTAAAACCCCAACATGAACCCATTAACACTAACACACACAAACACGCAGTGAATAACACAGGCAAAATCAGGCTTTAATGGGTTATAGTTCAGGGATCAACAACCTTTTTTTAAAATGAGAGCTTCTTGATTGATACAGACTTCCTGAATGATTGAAGTCCCTTATTTGTCTGGGGAAATTCACAGTGTGAGTCTTTGCAAACCAGGAGGCGCCATTAAGTATATGGTTCTTCTTGGGCACAAACCCAGAACCTTCTCATGTAAGGCAGATGTTTAAGACAGGCATGATAACCACTACACTATAGAACCACTAATAGATAAATAATATTAATTAAAAAAAATGCTTCTCCATCAAGTTCTCGGAAGTACAGTAGCAGACCATTGTCACAGCACCAGCACTGATTCAAATTTTTTTGACCCTCATGTTGACTATTATTAGAACATTCTCCATGGGCACCTTAGGTAGTCCGTGCGTGCTACCAGGTGCCCCCAGGCACCACTCTGGGTGACACTTGGGTTAGTTTATATTCAGATTAATAGTGAGACGTGACTTATATTATTCATAATAATCATATTTCACATGTGCTCTTTGTTCAGTGTAATTTGTGTTTATTTGATAGATTGGCTGCTTAGAAATGTCCCCCTAATAACTAGGTTACACCTCCCTCCACTCACTGTATTTGGCGCTCACCTGTACTCACCCCCTCCCCCACAGTGCCTACTGTGTGTGCTAATAGCTGTCTGGTATTGTTTTGCTGTTTATGCCAAGCCCCTTGATGGACCATAGACTGTTCAAGCGGGTGAGTGCAGCCTCAGCACCTCAATTCGTCTCCTCTCTCTCCCTCTCTCTCTCTCTCTTCCTCTTTCCCACCTCTCCCTCACACTCTCATACTCTTTTGTTTTTTTTATTTTCTTCCACTTACCCTGTTTGTTTCATACCCACCTTTCTCCTGCTCAGTTTTCTCACCCACAGTCTCCAAAAGTACGGTTCCTCAAGTCTCGGCCTTTGCATTCTTTAATTCCTCTCCTTGTTCTGTTTTTTGTTTTTTTGTCTTTTTCCCTCTCACCCCTCTTTCTCTGCCTCACCTCAACTCCCTCTCTCAACCTACCTCCTTTATTTATCACTGTTGCTTGATGCCTGCTTGCATGAAAGCTGCCAACTGGAGCCACAGGTGGACTGAAAAGCTCTGATTAAGGGCTCTCTCAAACTAACCCAATGCTTCTGAATGACGATGCCACTGCAACACGTAACAGGCAGACGTTCTGACTGTCCTAATCTTTGTCTCTTTCTCCTCAGAAATTCTTTTAACTGATGATTGTCTCGTTATTTCATTTTGCCTTTTTTTTGGTCGTGTGTTGTTTTCCAGGTGCCCAGTGTAAAAAAAACAGGAGGCTTTTGTTTATCTCGTATTCTGCTGCATGTCAATAAGGAACTTGCTTTTCTTACTGTAGGCATGCTCTGAGCCTGCTGTTTCTTGAGTAGTCTGTCTGTCTGCCTGACTGGCTTTTTTGTCCTTTTTCTAGCCAATCAAAACGACTGACAGGGGAAATGATCCCTGTCATTTCCATTGAACAAAGTTTTATCAAAACTGCTGAATGTCTGTGTTTGACTGAACAAGTTTAAACTGACAAAAAGGGTGTTTTATATTTTCAAATATTTGACACAGTTGCGTGTTGGATTCATTTCCCTGTGTTTGTGTTCACAATTCTTTGTTTTAGGTGGTGGAGGTGGTTAGTGTTCCAACACAAGAACCGAGTGGAACTCTTTAGTGCTTTATGTTAGAAATCTGTGATGACAAACAATAGATTTTTTTCCACAGGTAAAAAACACAAAGCTTTATTGGATCTCTGAGGAGTTCATCAGTTTAGCATTGAATGTGTTTGCGTACTTGGTATTATGGGAACATTGTAGATTTTGGGACACTTTTCATGGTGTGGACATTTCGTAGGTCACCAAGGGGGTAAGAGGGTTTTTCTGTTCAAGATTTAGTTCAAAGTTACAATTACAATTTTGTTCATATTTGAGCGGCGAGGGTGGGAATGCTATATGAATGTGGAGTTCTTCCAAATCACCTAGTGTTATGTGTGTGTACTACACCACACATTAAGACATCAAGCATGCAGCTTGTCTGGATTTGAGAAGATTTTGGGACTTTTTTTTTTTTTTGTTTCGTTTTAAATGACAATTTTGTAAGTGGACCCTTTTGGACAATTGATGTTGAAGAGACTGGAGCAGTTTTTTTTAGTTTCAATGTTTAACTTATTATCTCTCACCAGTCCTTTTGAAAATGATATTGATCTGATCATGCAGGGATGCTATTCAAGAAGCAGATTTTTATTTGTAGACACAACACAATTGGTCTTGTGTATTTAATTTATCAATGGAACAGCATCATTTTGGCTTCACTTAATAGCACCAAAGGAGCAGAACCTTTTTTGGTGCTTATTCAACACCATAGCTCTGCCAGGCCTTGGAATCTGAATATCATCAGAATAAGGGTTTAAACCTAAGTCCACGGTCTTCTGTACATCTGCGGTCTCCCTGTTTCATGACACAGTGATGTCATTTATTATTTTATTATTATTTATTTCAGTGATTTAGTTTTGTGCTAATTTTTTTTTTTTTTTTTTGCAGATTTCTTCAGGTACCAATTACTTTAAAATGTTGTTTATGTTTAGCATTTATGTGCTTGTTAAACCTTTTAAGTGAATTAGAAACTATGGATATTCTGTCCAGTCTACCAACTAAATTATTTCAACCCTAACCCTCACACTGCCCTGACAATGGATGTTTAAAATTTGCATTGTAGAAAATTAGTAAGGAAATGTTTATGATTTATCAAGAATAATTACAATGGAATTTAGCCATTTTATGTAAATATATATGTGTGACTATGCTTATGATTCTCATCAATAAATCTATATTTTTTTTCTTTCACTTCTTTTCACAGAGCAGCTGTTGTTCCTGTTGAATTAAATGAATTGATGCTGTTGTGAAGTCTGTGCTGAGCCTGTGTGTGTCTTGACAAGCTGACTACTTCATTAATGTCTACTGTATTCACTGACACGTCTCTGTCTGTCTGTGTTCCAGGGCGAAAGAATTGAAAAGGGCCAGGGAACATGAGACCCCGCAGAGGAGCCCCCTCACGATGTGACATCACTCTCCTGACTCCTCCTTTCTTTTTCATTTGTACCTGAGACATTTTACAACAGAAATTGAAAAAAAAAACACATCAATGCAAGCACTGCATTTATTACTACTTCTACAGTGTTCCATTGACAACTTCTACATGTACAACAATTTTTTTTTTTTTTTTCCACATCCTTTGTTTCCACTGACTTGATGTTTGTCAGCGAACGGCAACTTCTACGGGACGTGAATAAACTCTAAAGGGACGGGGTGTAGGAAGGGGATGCAAAACATTTGCTTCTTGGCATTTTTTGCACTTTTTTTTTGCGGCTTTTTTTCTCTTTATGAATATGAAGACATGAAGAACGATGAAGCAAGCAAACCCCGAGTGGGTCCATCAGGTGTGAGGACCTGGAGAGAGACGTAAACATATGGCTGCTGTAAAAGATCTCAGAGGACAGACATTTGAAAAAACAAAACAAAAAAAAAACTTGTTTTTTGTTTTTTAATGAGATAAATTACACCCAGTTCTATTTGTCTGCTGTAGACGACATAATATTGAATTTAGATCCATAGTTCCTCCTGTCTTACCGTACTCTGCCCGGAGTGTCCACACGGGCGGAGCTACAGATGAATGTAGTCAGGGTTCAAACATGCAAATGAAAACCGGAGGATCTTTTTTCTTGACATTTCCTTAAAAAAAAAAGAGTCCACTATCCTTTCATAATGTCTTTTTATTACTTGAATTGTTCTCCACAATGTCAGACTGTACTTGTTTCATCACGTCAAAATGTATTGATGATCTATATCTTCAGATTCTACGTTGTTGGATCCTGCATGAAACGGCAAAACGTTTTGCTTCTGTGCTTAAGGTCTCGTCTCTCTCTCAGCCGAGTTATTTATTTATTTTTATTTTTTTAAATGTGTCTTCTCCATTTTATCCTCCATAGGTTTTTACCATTCCCAGTGTTGTCCATTTTTAAATAGATTGTTCCTCTGAAGAGAAATTGCCTATTTTGTGTTGTAGTCGTTCTGGTCATGCAGGTTATTACTGTTCTTTTTAAATGAACTTCAGAGCCTGTGAAGGCTTTTGAGGGGAAGATCACATACATTGCCTTGACGTCTTAGAGATTCTTTGAGGGGTCCCTAAGCTTGTCCCAAAATAGGGGTTTGACAAATCCATATTTTTGACAATTGAGCGATTTCTGTATATAACGGAGGCTGAAGTACGTAGGAAAAACATTTACCCAAAAAAATGGGATTGTATTTTAGAAATATATTATTTTATTCATTAAAAATGGATAAAAACAGGTACGAGACAAAAACAGAATATTTGTATAGTTTTCTTTGAATGCCTAAAAAGTATGGTTGTATTGTTTGTATATAGTGTAAATACCTGAGATAAAATGAGTAATGTGCATGAAAAGTATGAACAAAGCTAAAGGGGAAAAATACAACAAAAGCAGTAGTGGCTATGCTCTGTAAAATGAAAAATATTTCACTATTAGAGTATTTTATTTTATTTTGATTGTTCTTGAGAAGAACATTTTTGCTAAAGCATGATAATAATGCAATATGAAAATGAAAAAAAATCATATTTAGATTTAGGAGAAGACTGCAAAGTTATCTTTAAGGTACAGTTATGTTTGTTGGGTTTCTGTTTGTTTGTTTATTTGGTTGTTTGTTTGTTTGTTGTTTACTTTGGGCTACCAAGAAAATTTTCCAATGGTGCCAAGGTATGTGAATGCTATATAACTTAAGAAAGTAATTAAGTTCATATTTTTTGCTGAACAGATAATCGTACAGTGACATACACTTTAGCACTAAAGATCACAACTTGACTGATCGATCGATCGATCAGTAAGGTACACAGTTTGCAGAGGTAGTCATACTCGAGCAGAGTGCATTTAAGCCTATTGTGTCTCTCCGTTCATTCCCACAAACAACAAACCATTTGCTATTATTAAGTCTGCCATAGAAATGTTGGGGATTTATTTTCGTTGTCATTGCAAATTGAATGTGATGTGTTTCAGGGGTACGGTGTCTGATCTTAAAGATTGTAAAAGTCAGCCTTGTCCTCGCCGTCCCGTCGTATAAAACCATCCACGTTATGACTTCCTGTCATTGAAAAAGATTGAATTCACCTCCTGAAATGTTGCAGCAGACGCTGATTTACAGCCCCCTCTGTGGTGAAAGGGTGACCACACTTTACTAAGACAATGTGTTTTAACGAAAACAAAAACCCGCTTCGTTCAAGGCTGCCAGGATTTATTATACCTTGAATTCCAAAAGAGAAAAAAAAAATAATCAAAGATGTTAATTTAAAAACATGTAGCGACCGTGCGTGACTGGGCTTCTTGTTCTAGCAGCTGAAAAAAAAAGAACAGTAGGTGCTAAAAAAAAAAAACAGAAAAGAAAAGCATCCACAGGTGATTTTTGCATCAGTGCAGGTTCAATAAGCTGAGGTGGTTTTAAAATACTGGTGTCATTCATAACATGAGACAAAAACAGCGTGTCTGGTTCAAAGCGTTTTGACTGAACTTTATACAAAATGTAAAAATCTGAGAGAAATCTTTAACGAGCTGCCAGTTCAGTGGTGCCTGTCCAGTCTCTGTGGAATTCCTTCAATGTGTTTGGATTTAAAGTGACAATATTTTACGATTCAACCAAGTGCCACTTGAAATCTTTTTTTTTTTTTTAATTATTCCTCTGACTGAATTGTTGACATGTTTGTTGAGTGACATTTCTACATTTTGTTTTTCCTTTGACTTACTGTTTGTAGCTCATTTGATATGTGAAAACTTGTTTTTTTTTGTTTTTTTTTCTTGAGTGTTTAAGTAGAAAGTGCCTATCCATATCCTGATAACACCAAGCCAATGTCAGACTGCATTCAATGTACCTAAGGTTGTGATGGATTTGAGAAAGCATAAGTCATTCACATACGATCACCTTCACATTACACTCCTTGAAGCCACACAATATTCCCTCCTCCTCGCGCCAGTATCAGTGCAGTACTCCAGCTCTTCAACAAGCCTGGCTTTGTTTTAAAAAAAAAAAAATTTTTTTTTTTCTGTTCTGTACTGGGACAGCTTGTTAAAGTTCACTTTAATAACGCCACTACTGGGATTTGTTGCCTTGCATTCGTCCTCAAACTCTGTGGTTAGAATGCACAGCTAATGCAATGTCCTGGCAAAAACGGAGACGGATTTATTATGCTTGCATGGGTAAAATAGTTAACAGGGTGACAGAACTGCACCTAAAGCATGCTTCTTTTCCTAGAAACGGTAGTCAGATAGACTCATTAAAACTCTAAAACAATGAACGCTCGGTAGACGTGTCACAGAAGTCAGGACGGAGAGAGGGCGCGTGACCGGAGGGCACAGGCCAGAGGTCGGTACTCAGTGCATGGGGACAGGACTGTTTTAAGGCGTTTCCTTTAGTTTCCTCGTTTACTTTAGAATTGACGAGCGGGTCCCAACCTGGAACAGGAACAAATGGAAAAAAAAAAAGTTTCAGACTGATGAACGTACGTTAACATACGGTACAAGGTATCTCTAACAAGTATGCACTAGGTGACGTATGTCATACACACACACACACAGATGCACAAGAAAACACAGCACACATGCAGATTGGTGAAAGGCGTCGGCTTTTACGAGGACACTCAGCAGTGTTGCTCTTCTCTGGGGCTGAGGGACTTGATCACCTCTTTATGTATTTCACTCAGGGTGCCAAAATGTGGTGAAGGAAACAGAGCATGACGAGCAATTCACAGAAGAATAGGCCGAGAGTGGAAAAGGGGGAAAAAAATCATTCAGCGATGCTTTCAGGTGAAGAATCTAGGGCAGACAGATTCACCGCTGTGATGCAGAAGTCTTTAAGGTGATTGAATATGAAATCTAATCAATGTCCTCCATGTGGTTTAACATTATAGACTCTGCTGGAGCACAGAGAGAGAGAGAAAGAAAAAAAAAAACAAAGTTCAGTTATATACAGCTCATTAGGATAAATGATTTGACATCCTTTCGTGGAAGCCTGTCAAATCCTAGCATAAATCTGGCCCCTTCTTCAGGCCTGCAATCTAACTAAGTGACAAAGTGTAGAGGATATTTAAGATTAAGAGCATAATTGTACAAAAAAAAAAGTTCACCTGTAAATCTTGTTTTACTGCCATTTTTGAATGGGATGACAGGTTAGCTCAAAGGCTCTTTGCAATTGCATACAGTATTACCAGTCTCAAGGTGTTCTGTGAAATGGTCTGGGAGTCTACCTTTCCTCCTCCCCTCCAATACCCCCCCACCCCACACCACCCCCGCTGCCACCCCCAAGCACCCAAACCAGAGAGAGGCAGGCGGCATTAGGGCAACAGAACAGAAATGGTTTTACAATGTATTCCACTCGTGGACACAGAGCAATAACGAATTTTTTTTTTGTGGAGACCTATAGACTTAGTGAAGTTTAAAAACGATTGGACACATGTAGTCGACTTATTCTTATGCAAATGCCAGTATTGCAAGACAAGCATTCAGTAGTTTATGGACAGCAATTATACGGCACCCTTTACCGAACTGCACGTTTTCATCAAATCCAAACCAAGAAGAAGAAAAAAAACAAACAAACCCTGCTTTAGTAGAAAGTCACGGGTCCTCAACACTTTGCATGTGAACTAGTGTTAGATCTATTTTTCCTCTCCTCTTTAGCTGTCTTTCTCTCTGTCTTTCCCTGTTATGTGACCCAATTTTTCTCCACTCCCTAACCCCGCCCCCCCACACCCACACCCTCCAAATGTTCATCTCCTCTCGGTTCTCCCTAATGTGTTTTGCTTTCCTCCTTTTTATTACCCCTTTCTTGTTTGTAAGTTTTATTTTTGTAATTGTGCATGTACAAGCGTCACTGACTTGATGGAAATGTAAAAAAACAAAACAAAATAACAAAAAAAAAAAAGATTTCAGCTGCTGAAGCCATGCAAAATGTTTTGAATTGCCCTTAAAATATGGAAGTGTTTTCTGAATGCTTTATATTCTTTCTGCTGTAAAATAATAAAAAAAAAAACAAAAAAATGAAGAAAACTCGATGACCATGTTTGGAATGTCTTTTTGTTTCCTCTTTTACTTTTTAGAGACTAACGTGCTGCTGTTTTTAGCAACCGGTTCGTTACAAGAAAAGTCAAATCCAATTTTTATAATCCATGTTTTATTTTTTTTTTGTTCGACATTCAACACTGTGTAACCTTTGACACTTACATTTTTAAGTCGTTTTGTCAAACATTACACAAAGAAGGAACTGAAAGACGTGTGTGTGTAGAGTTTCACACAGCAAAAAAAAAGGATTCTTAATAAATCCTCTTAATTTCCATGAAATGTGTGTCAATCATACCTGCTTATCTACGCCAGTGTGTGTGAGTAAATGTTTGACCGGGCTGTTGTTCTAGTGCGACCCCTGCCTCTTGTGTCTGGCATTAACAGCTGTTTGAGTTTTAGACGCAGTACTTCCAGAAACACTCGGAGTTCCCCGTCCTCTTCCTCAGCTGCTTCCTGATGCCGAAGGCGAATGGGTTCAGGAGACTTTGCTTCTCCAGCAGAACCTGAAACAAGAGCTGAGGTGTTGAAGATGAACATCATTTGACATTATTGATTTTTTTATTTTATTTCTTGTACTACTGTTTTTACTCTACCTCTCTTTTCATCCCCCGAGGAAACAGTCCTGTGGTTCTGACACCTGAGAGAACAGAGAACACGACGACATTAGCGCGAGCAGTTTAGGCGGCAACGGCTCGACGAGCAAACTGTGAGACGATCTGCAAAATGTGCTCTGAAAATGAACTGTTATTCCATGTGTGACTGTATGTACATTTGCTTTTCTTTCTGCATTTTAAACTTTCCTCACCATCTCTGTTGATCTCTCCAGATATTAAAGTGGAATATTTGAGATCGGCTCCGTCCTGAGATGGAAATATTCGCTCGGAAAGAGAGAGATCATCCAGCGTTCCTAAGGCCCGCTCTTCTACTGATGCTGGTAGGAAACGATTAAAGGGGGGCAGAGGGGGACACCATAATTCAATAACACACCTCTGACAGGTACATAATGGACTACATGAAATCGCGATGTAATTAATTACGTTGAATGACGAAATAACACCAACAAGTTGTCAACTCGTCCCGCAAATTATTCGTCATTTTTCTCCAATACTCCCTAAAATGTATTTCAGTCGGTGAGCAGGGAAATGTAGCAGCACTTTTCCATTTCACAGTGACGAGTCAGTGTTCAACTCCTGAGACTTTAATTACTTTTCTGTCTCCGTCAGGACACTGCTTCACAAATTAAACTTTAGTACCAAACCTTCTAATCAAGCAGCCGTTGGTAAATAACTATAAATAACCGCCGTAATTAAGACGTAATGTTCCACTCACCGGGTCCCGGATAGGTCATCTCTGCAGATTCTGTGATTGGATGGGCCAGCAGTTGACCAGATGCCGCCAGCAGAAAAGTCCAGGACAGGAGACAGGAGCACTTCATCTCTGTTGTCGGACGTGACTCTGATACCAGCGAGGGCTCCAAGGTGAAAAGGCGACTCGTACCTCCTCTGTGGATTCCACCTAGTTTTTATACTTTTAGCCCTAGCCCCCCCCCACACACACACACCTCCCACGAACCACACACTTCCGTTGGCCACGACGACCATCAGCAGTGTCCACCGTCTCTCTCATAAATCAGCGGAGAGTCACAGGTGAATTATAGGATGAATAAAAAGGCCAGTGTCGTGGCCCAGGCACCAAGGGCACAGGGGTGTTTTTACCAGCTCCTCTAGCTTTATTGCCTGTTTTGTTACCGACTTTGTAAATGAATCAACGCAGATGTTTCTTCTGTCAGCAGCCGGGAACAGGTGGATAACCTGGAGACAAATGACCGGGGGTTTTGACGCCACTGTTTCATTAAAGTCGCGGTGCATTTCACACTTCCTCATTCAACACACATTGTGGAAAAATATTTCCACGACTGCAGTCACACACGCGGCCACACCGGTGTCCAGGAAATCAGTGGAAACGCTCCAGGTCCAGGAGGCCTTGTAGTTTAGAAGCAGTGCTGACATTCTGACCGTTCAGACTTTTTCTTTGGGTCATTGAATCAGCCTGATGCATTCAGGTACAGTACATTTAGACTGGCTTGTTTTGTGAGACATTAGACGAGGGTAAGTTCTTAGTTGAACTGCAATATTTCCTTCTTTCAATAAATATGTAAACTTGGGAAGAATCTGGCGATACATCGCAATACAGGTGCAATAACGATTCAATACATTGCGATATTTTGCAGAATACGATATATTGAGGGTTTTTTTAATGTAATTGTAGGAAAACTGTCAGTATAGTAAACTCAGAATCAGAACAGAGGGAATCACTAGAGAAGAAATCAAATCAAAATAAAATGAACCTATAACGTCATGAATGTTTGACTGCTAATTGTCACATGCGGTGCTGTTTTCCTTTGTCTTGCAGTAAAGGCCGGGGAACAGCTGGAGACATTTATAAACAACCTTCATTTTCTACCTGCGACTAAAATTTGTATATTTATTGAAAGTGTGGCGTCAATTGTCCTGCTGTACTATGGTAATGAGAGCCAATGGAGCGTCAGTGACATTTCAATTTATGGTCAGGAGGCCGGACAGTCTATTAAGTGAAGCTGCGCATCATGAAAAGCTATTAGGATTTATATTCTCTATTAGCCGAAGCCCTGCTACCAATCCCAAATTATTCCATCCTTACGATAAATGCTCTCTCCGCACGCACAGAGTTCATCCTGCCGTACGAGGGATGATTTACACATTTTTACCCCACAGGAAATGGAACCTGTGAATGTTCCAGTAAGCGATTCTGCAAAAAGTCTGACTTAACTTTTGAGGTATTACTTTACTTTTCTTTTTTTTTTTTTTTTGGTAACTTAAAACTGCAAGTCAGCTTTCTGTGAGAAATGGACAACATCCATTTTTAGCAATTGTTCTCTAACTTAGTCTGAAGGATTCGCTGCCTGAGGAAGATTCACTGTTAACAAAGGACAAAGACTGTGTCTCTATCTGTCTATATTGTCTCTCTGTCTGCCAATATGTATTGATATTTAGTTAAAAAATTACAGCTTTTGTTTGTTAGCATTTTACCCCGACTATTGAAATCCTTACCTTAACTACTGTATAATTTGACCCTAATTCTAATCCTAACTCCGATCTGAAATTTAAACATCACAATTCCCTCTCCCTTTAAAATGTCCCCATAAGACAAAGTGTCCCAAAACACTGTCCCCACAACTATAGCTTTACTAAGACATCACACACACACATGCTGACATTTGGATTAGGCTGCTGCTTTAACATTTACAGTAAGTCTGGCTAAAGTGTTGCTTGGTGTAACTCCCTCTCACTTGGTGGGTGGTTTAATGTTAATTACTTTATTTTGTTTTTTGTTTTTGTTTTTTAAGAGAAGAAGCCATCTGCCTAATGTTTTTTTTCTTTTTCATTTAAAGTTTGATTGGGAAATTAATGACAAAAATGTATGTATTTCAGCAAATAACTCTCAGCATAATCTTTACTTAGACAGAAAAGCCACAATTTCTGAAAAAGTAAATCATAGGTTTTATTTAAATTGTCAAAGTTATACATTTGAAACCAATGTATGTATTTCAGCAAATAACTCTCAACATAATCTTTACTTAGACAGAAAAACCACGATTTCTGAAAACGTAAATCATAGAATTTGAAACCTGTCAACAGTAGCAACCAGTAATACATCCTGCAGTATTTTCCATCTTATGAGCCAGCAGGGGGCAATATTATGTCTAAAATCCCTGGCAATGACACTGTGGACGTGAAGGGGAGAAAAAAAAACTGTAACGGTTGCGTGTTCTGTTTTATGTTGTTGTGGGCTCATCCTATTATTTGACCAATATTCTTACGCTAACAAGGTGCAAATTCCAAAGTTTATTAGTTATTTTTTAAAAATAAATTAACTAATATTTAGGCAAATAAGTTGGTAATACAGTAGAAATTCCAAGGAACATCATATTTTTTTTATTATTTGTATTTCGACGCTTCCCTCGTACTGTATTTACAACATAACTTTTGCAGGGTAAATTTTCCGAGCTTTTTGTTGTACCTGAACGCATCAGCGGTTCGCCGCCCTCGGAGAGTCTGAACGGCAGCTGCTGTAGAGTAGCAGTAGTTTCCAGAGCCGGGGCTGCCTGCGTGAGCACCGGACTTTGTTTCATTCATAGACCGGCCATAAACCCGGTTTCACCTCACCCTTACAACAATGTCCAAACACATTAGTGACGTCTTTTAATCGATGTAGCTAAAGTAGCAACACGAAAGTAAACAGAGGAGGAAGACGTGGTGCCGAGCGACAACAAAGTTTACACTCGTGTTCGGTACTTGTTGAACAGTGACGACAACAGAACTCCGGGCTGCCCCGGATACAAAGGTAAGATGTCTAAAAAGAAGCTAACTTTTTAAAATAAAGTCTTCTCTTCAGTCTGTAGTCGGTTTGTAGCGGGTTTAATTAGCGGCTACTGCTAACGCTGACTGTTTATGTCAACTTAAATGCAACATTAGCTTTGAGTTTGTTGTCCATGTAGCTTGTTGTTTCCACGCATCTGGTGCAAATATGACCTGTAATTATCCTGTACGGGGAGACAACGTCCACTTTATTCTATGTAAAGTTTCTATCAAAAAAATTATTTTTAGAAAATCTGTTTAAGAATACACTCAAAAATATGTATGTATTGTGTTATAAGTGTATGTTTTAGAAAGAAATAGTCAATTTCTCCGCAACATTTTTGGCCCACAGAGTTAGTCACGTCCAAATTTGTTACTTTAACCACATTTTTAGAGTCTGTTGATGTTTGGAGCAACTGCTGGGGTATTTTAGTAGTAACCAGGTGTCACCATGATATTTTTTAAAACAAATGTTTAACGTTCTTGAAGGTTTCAATATCATGGTGGTTTGTTATTGTTATTGTATGCTTCTGTCATTGTTCATATATATATATATTGTTCATATATGTATAGAGAGATAGTTTAAAATGTGGTTATTTTATTGAAGTTATTTTTGAAGCTATTAAATCACATACATAAAAAAGTAATTTTAAAGTATTTTAATGTCAAGTCAATGTACACAGTTACATTTTTTTTTACACGTATATGTGTGGACATTTATGTGTTAATGAACTTTCACTGTTGTGTGTTTTCAGGGTCCTGTGTGTTACCATGAAGCAGTGACGGCACACAGTCAGTCAGACAGACAGACAGTCGGACAGACAGACAGTCGGACAGTCAGACAGACAGACAGTCGGACAGACATGGCAGAGCTGGAAATCGACCAGTCCAACCTCCCACGTGTCCAAGAAGGTAAGAACTCCAGACTTTAATCATACATCCCATAGATCATGAACATTTGTGTTAACGTTACGATGGTCCACCAAAGTCAATAATGACCATATATGGTAATTGTATGTATAGTATAAGTAGAGCATGAGACTCTTAATCTCAGGGTTGTAGGTTTGAGCCCAGTGGGATTCAAGCCGCCTTGTCATGAATCGGTACCACTTGTTGACTGGTACCAGTCCGACCGTTTCTAAATAGATATATACGATGTGGGAGCTAAGATAAAAAAAAAAGTCTTCAAGCTTGAAGTGTACTTTACTAACGCTGAATATCACGGTGAGAAATGGAGTGACCTACATTAGAGGTGATTCTTGATTCAGGATTGGTGAATCTAGGTCATTTGTGATTGGCCTCTTGTGTGTGTGTGTCTGTTAGTGTGTGTGTGTGTGATTGATACCTGTGGCATTTGTTTCTTGGTTCCCGGCTATATAATGCTATATAATATAATGCTACAGTATTTATGTTGTGACTGTGTGCAACCGACACGAGACTTTTCACGTCAGTGCAGTGTAGATGATTGGTCTGTTGGACCAGCAGCAGATAAGAGGCTGGAATCAGATGGTTGTTGTTGTTGTGTTGAATTCCTGGGGTCAAAAAAGAAAGAACCGTTTTTGCTTATAATGAAACTGGAACATCTACTGTAAAACCGGAGTAAACAGGTTTGCTTTTGCCCTCGGACGATAAGAAGAAGAAAAATCATCACTGCAGTTAGATTTACTCCCTGTGCTCAAAGTTTGAATTGACCTTTCAGGCTGTTATCAACAAAACTGCATAAGCCTGTGTTTTTGGGTTGATGTCGGGGAATGTGTGAAGATGAATCAGATTTGGCAGGTCCCCATCCACAGGGGTCGCCAAAGCAGAGATTTCCATAGTGATTTGTCAAAAAAAATGTTTGTATGTAGCTATGTTCTCTTGTGTTCTACTTGTGATTAAAATCTGTGTAACAACATCTGATGCATAAAGCAGAGGAGACTTAGATCTTTCACCCAGTCGACATATGGTGGTAAATGTTATGGAGGTTTTTCAAATTCTGGATTATAACAGTTAATTTATAGAGAATTTGATTATTTAATTCAAACTAAATAACTCTTTAAAATCTGAAGTGCTGTAACTTGTTTAGTAAAGTTAGTTCTTTTATTAGCATTTATAGCATTAGCATATATTTATATTAAATTCTCAGTGTGCAGTCCCTTATTTAGCCGTCTGATCAGGTGTCCTTTCAACCCTTGTGGTGTTCGTGGTCCACAAATAGCCACATGGTACCCTAGGACAGTAGGCAACTTTGTGGTTAACCATTGCTCAGGAGGGCTAGAGGAAGACCACCCCCCCCCACACACTGAGCCATAGGCAGACCCCCTGCTCCATGCTCCATGCCAAATGCTTTAAACTATTCTCACTCTTGCGTGCAGCCATGAAAACACTGACATGTAGGAGAACGTGTCGGTGACCCGTCTGCCAGACGCTTGACTCGGTCCTCTTTGCGTCCCTGCTAATGAATAGGACAGAAATAGGTCTCTGTGTCTTCCTTTTTATGGGAAATAATTCAACACTCCACTCTTGTTTTCACACACAAAGGGTCCACTGTGGAGCTTTGTGCTTCACAGTTTTATTGAGCCGCACGCTGCGCACAAAGACAGTAAAGGCGGCTGTAAACTTTACCTCCAAAGATAAACTGAAATCAGCGGCGTGATTAAGAGTTTCGTGTGTTGTTTACTTCAAGTCCAGTTGTTGCTGTTTAGAATTTCACTTCCCTTCACGCTGCCTTCTCCAATCTGCCATTTCCTCCCCCTCTTACCCCAAACTGCTGCCAAGGTCACTTTCTTTGTTGCCCCTGCCCGTCTTATCAGTTCCTGTTTGGTCCCAGCTTTGGTCGCTCCTGATATAGTCTGATGTTCCACGGGAATGCAGCATCCAGAGGAATTCCCCCAACTCCTGCCCCCTCCACCCTCCCCCCTTGCCTCATTCCTAATCTCACTCTCACCAACTGACCCAGAGTCCCATTTTCCTGCACCTCTTTGTGTTCCCCATGAAAACAAAAAGTCCAGTTTATGAGCTGGGCTGCTTTGTCCAGTGAAATGTGCATCACAACAAGGACCAGAGAGCTCATGGTGAAAATTTGTATAAAAATCTGTTTGGTGGAGGAAGGAGCTGGAGAGAGAGAGAGCGTGAGTGTGTGGGCGGTCAGCAAGGAAATTTGTCTGAAAATAGAACTTGTCATTTTCTCCTCTTGCCTGTTCTTTTTTTTTTTTGTACGAGAGGCTACTGCTGGTCTCCATGTTGGTGTGAGACAGAAGAGAGAAAAAGATCTGCATAATCATGACTAAATCTCAGTTCTACAATGTTGGAATGGAATAAGAGTTTTTTTTTTAATTGTTTTAATTAAAAGCATGCGCAGATATTCCATTTGACTTATGCATAAGGAGGAAAAAATGTAATGAAAATATAAAGAAATGATGAAAAATTGAATGTAGCAGAAGGAAGCCGTCTAGTCCATGGTCCACGGTGTTTTGACTGGGAGGTCATAGAGGTCGTGGTTTCCTGCTTCAGTGTTAACGTCGCCCTCTCCACGTCTAACTGAGAGCACGACCGTTGTACAACATACCACGCTACGCATGTTGTAGAAGTCGACGGCCGGTTGTATTTTAAGACCAGGGCTGTCGAAGTTGAAGAGATAATGACAAGTCAACGCAAATTACCCATAACACCACTGTTGTTGTGCTTCCTGGGATGTGAGTCTGTGTCACAGCAGTAACAGAGCAAACATGGTGAAAGATAAAAGGTTCATTCAAATAGCAGTTTTATATTTAAACATCTGCTGGATTCAAGTCTTGATGTTTAATATTAATCTGAACTGAGTGACCAGCTCAGATGTGATGGGTTAATCAGACGTAGAAAAGAAGTGCTCTTTTATTGTGTACTATACGGCTTAATGGTTTTATTAAATATGTCAAAGGGTTAATTTTTTTTAAACTCACATGGATGTTGAGATGGTATTTTAAGTTAAGTTTTAAGTTTAAAATAATGAAATTTTTTTTTACCATGTGTAATTTGCACCACTGGATCAGTGGTGGATTATTGGACGAACAGCACGGGTCATTTTACCCATCTTAACTGCAAAAATAATTACTTGTAAATTATCCCCTTGTACGATAAACAATTATAACATATATAATTATAACAATTACGGTATACAATATTTTGGTATGCAATTCATCCGAGATTATTCAAGAGAATATTCTGGAAAATATTTTTGTTGTTTTGTTTTGTAGCAGTTAAAATAAACAAACATTTCCATGAAGCAAACATAGTTCTAACCCTCAGGTTTGTAACAATATAAATAAATAAATAAATAAAATCCCTAAAATACATTTATTAACAAAAACAAAGTTGAAAGTTTCAAATAAGTTGCAGTTAACTGTGAGTAAATTTTGGACGAATCAAATATTCAACACTCTGCTGTAGACAGACACTCCTCCCTCAGTGCACTTTGACTTCTGGTACTTGTTGTCTGTCTGATCTGTGGTTTACTGTAGTATCCTCTCAGTAAACAGACACTCGGGCCTTTTTGATGTTCTTTTTTTTTTAAAGAAGCTTTTACTGGTTTACACTGGTTTACACTGGTTTACTTACTGGTTTTCTAAAGGATTATGGGAGAGAGAAAAAAAAGAAAGGAACGACTGTAGAACAGCCTGGGATTCTCACCATGAACACACGGTGTTTCTCTCCTCACACTGAAAACCTGTTTGTCAGTCCAAATAACACACTCTCGTTGTACCTCCCCGACAACTGTAACGTGACCATAGTTTGAAGGATTTGGAAAAACGAGTTAAGCCACAATGCGGTCACACCCACGTGTGCGTGTTAACACAGATGCTGCCGCTGAAAACAAGGGTTCTTTAGTTTTTATTTGTTTTTTTCTTCACTGATTTGAAGTCAGCTGTAAATTTGTCCTTTTGGATTAAAAACCAAACGTTTGTCTTAATCCGTCCTCATCGACAGACTGGTTAGAAATCCTTTCAGTGGATGGTGATTTCTTAAGCAGTGCGACAGGTGTAATTGTTAATGCCCGTCTGTCTGCTCTGGTGCAGTTTAAATCTGACTGTCGACCTGCTGGTAAACACAGCCCATTGGTGTCTTAGTGCTGACCATGTGATCTCCATGACCTCTGACCTCAAGAGTCAAATTTGACTATATAGTTTATATCAATATATGTCCACTTAACCAAGAAATATATTGATAAAACCACCAGTTTGTCTATTTCTAGCAGTTTTTTTGTTCTCTCTGAATGTTTGTATATTTATACAAATATACTATATATATTATAAATCAAAATTAAATTGATATACTTGCATATATTTTTCACTTCTCTCTGTACATTTATATATTTTTCACTTCTCTGTATATTTATATATTTTCACTTCTCTCTGTATGTGTATATATTTTTCACTTCTCTTTATATTCATATATTTTCACTTCTCTCTGTATGTTTATATATTTTTCACTTCTCTCTGTACAATTACTATATATCGGTATATCGATATTGGACATGAAAAATTTGCGCCGTTCCTAGTTGATATCAACTTTCTAGTGATCAAAGTTTCAAATTCTCAACAAATGAAAAAATATATATGTACATTTATTTCATTTATTTATTTATTAGCCCAGTCTCCTGCCTCCTCTGATTTCCCTGGAAAGTTTTAGGCAGGATCCCTGGGTTCCATTTTTTTTTTTTTTTTTTTTCAGATAGGGAAGTGGAGGACAGCTGCAGTACTGCACTGCTGCTGTCACTCTGTGTTTGTGATGTGTTGACGAACTCTTGACATTCTTTAAACACACAGGGCCCTCCAGGCTGAAGTGGCTCCTCTAAGACTACTGTAGAAAAACTGGGTTTGTTTACTGTGTCAACCAGCAGTGGTCAAACTGCTGGAGCCGCTGTGGAGACCAGAATATCTACTGAATGTCTTTGTGTCAACCACAACTATGAAACAGAGTCCTTTGTATATGAGCGTTAATTTTTAATTTTTTTATTTTTTTAATAAGAATTTGTGCGTAGTGTCGTGAAACCACAGCGGTGCTAAATTAAAAACAGCAATGTGTGACA